TTGTATTGTTATCTGCTGGGCAATTTTTAAGTAATTAATTGCAAACTTTGAAGACAATATCTAAATTCCTTTACATGATTATTTTGTTTGAAAGCCCTTATAAATTTGTTTCTTAGGATATCATACAGAGTAAGCTATGAACCGGTTTTCTCTTAAAAACACCGTACTAAAAAAATCAGCAATTATAAAATTTCAGTATTTAGGAAAACTAAAAATTTTCAGATGAGATACAGTATAGAATAAAATACCTGTTCAGATAGCTTGGCATTGATTCTACTGAATTTATCTAATTAATCATGTTGAAATAGTTCTAGCGGAAAGTATACAAGAAAGTTTTAAAATGTAGGGTTCTTTTATAGTTTAGTAATGGCAGTTTTTAAAATTTTCTTTCTATAAAAATTCAAGCATCACAATTCTCTCTCCCTCAGAAATAATTTCTAACGTGATCATTCACAGATTTCACGTGAATCACATGAGTATTCACAGCAAATTTATATATCCCTTTTCCTAACTGTTACATGTTTGTTTTCAGATACGTTCTGAATATGATCATATTGAAAACAGATTTCAGTTTTTCTATATGACAGATGTACTGAGAGCAATATCAATTGCAATGTTCCTTTCCAATTCAATTCCAATGCAAATTTTATTATATTTGCTAATTTGATTAACAAAGCTGAAAATGATTTTCTATTTTCAAACAACGAAATTTAATGATTGGAAAATAGGTATGTATTTATAAAGAAATATGATAAAACTTTACAATCACTTTCCTCATACAGTATCTCTGAGACTAGTATTTCTTGTAAAAACGGTGAATATAATATATAATCGTGCAACCTAAAACAACCATTAATATTTTGTAGATTGTGGGTGATTCGCCTTAGGGATATTTTACTATATTTTAATTACTTACTCAGATTTATGTCGATAATCAAGTTGACTTAAAAAAGTAAAATCATTTTTGCCATTAATTTTAATACAACCGAAATTATAATTTTAATTAAACATGGACTTCGTTTTATAGACATAATTTATTTTCAAACATCTGACCAAAAAAAAAAAAAAAGGGGGGGGACAATCAATTGATTCATTTCAAAATGAACAAGAAATTTAATGGTGGATGTCAACTTTCATTATTATATTTCAATCATTTTTTAATATGATATATTTTCAAAAATGTTGTTATTATTTGAAAAGCTGATTAAGCGCAGTTAGATTTTACTAATTATGTGAAATAGTTTTCATAGACTCTCTTATATCTCTTTCATTAGTAATTTACGCTTTAGGAATGAAAAGAGACATGAAACGTTTTCCCTATACTATATCTCAAAGCTTACATTTCTAAGCACAGGCAATCACATCATTAGACGACTTTCAGTAATGACTAAAAGATGATCTTAACAACATTTTATATGAAAAATAAGCATGCTAATATCAGCTTCAAAAAGCACACAATCTCTCGTACACTAACATGGGTATTTATCGGGAAACCCTGCATTTCAAAGGATGCAGGTTAAGATCCTTTTTCAAAAAGTAAAATTTTTGAAAAAATTTATTAAAAAAATTTTTGAAAAATTTAAGATTAAAACAGAAAGTAAGACTATATCCAGCTGAATAATGTATCTAATAATACAGCCACTGAACCAGTTTAATGCATTTTTAAAGTGTTTAAAAGTGTTTTTTTAAAGTGTCTTAAAAACCCTCTTTTGGGATATATACAATATTAATTTATCTCTCACCATGTGCCTTTCGACATTTCATGTAGACTAGTTGTGTACGGATTTAAAGAAGACACATTTAGGTAACAAAAATATACAAAAGAGTTGGATTTACATCACAAATTACAAAAGTCATTAGAATAATACGTTCGAAATAACTAGGATAACATAACGAAGGATTGGATGTTGATTGAAACGTCCCACAAGAAGAATATATAATAAAAGGTTTTAAGGTTTAGTCATAATGTCAAAAAATTATTTGAGCTCCTGTGTAATTTGATTATGTAATATAACTAAGATATTGTATATTCAAGTCGTATCACAGAAGAAAACTCAATAACTTATGACTACTCTATATTTTGCGAGAAAATTTTGCACCAAAGATGGGAATCAATTTTACAGACTAGTTTTTCTTTATATTAAATATATATTTTCAGAGATTAGTTTCTCTTTAAATTTCTTTATTTTGTTCATATATATTATCTTGTTTATATTTCTCCCGTTTAATGTTTCAAACAGAGCTTGTCAAGGGATAAGTATTTATATATGTATTATTTATATTCTTCATATTATATGCATATATATGTATGTATAATATGCATATAATATGTATTATATAATATGCATATAATATGTATTATATATATAAAAGATATAATATAAAAATATATATTATTTCTTTATATTATTGTATAAAGCTAATCCAGCGTTTCTTAAAATACTATTAATTCTTAATTAGTTAAAAAGGTCTTGTCAACTGCAATTCTAATCAAATTCTTCTAAGATTGATGTGAAGTGAGATATTTCAATTCTGATGTCAAACACTGATGACAATTTCAAAGACCTGATGTCAAACACTTTATTGATATTACTGGAGACCTTCCAGAAGAAACACGGAATGTTAGCGATGAATTCCGTTCTTTTGCCGAAAGGTAAGCTAATTAGACCATGCTTGATAAAAACGTCCTTTCAACATACATTTAAACTAATAAATAACTGAAACAGTTTCCTTAAAATGATTATATAAATTTTGCATAAGGGCAATAAGTAATACCAGAAGATAAAATGAACTGGACATTCAATTAGTTTTACAGTAAAACCTTTAAAATTTTACAGACTTGATATTTTTTTCCCCGTTATGAGTGTAATAAGTTGAATGCTTTCATTAGAATTTGAACAGAATCAAAATACCCCATATCGGTAACAATATAGAAAAATGTGTTTATTTGCATAGTACACAAATACATTAAAAGAAACACTTTGATAAGAAACTATTATTTGTGAATTAATTTCTGATTTTCGTCCTGCATTAATTTATCATATATTATATATAAATATTCATTTTAAATGATCGAATAAATTAAAAATAATTCCTTTCTTGAGCACATATAAAAAATAACTATTAGCATTATAGTTTCGTGGACTTTTATCCGATAAGGAGGATAAAAGGCTCAGCAAAGTGCGAAGGTATTTTCTCATTTAAACTACATTTAATCAAAAGAAAATATTTCTTTGGGTATCGCTGTATTAGATGAAGAAGAAAACTTCGAATTTACTTTATGACATGGAATAACATTACTCATTATTTATACGAATAACATCTAAACATACAGCAAACACTTAAAAATAATGAGAAGAATAACACCAACTCATGATCATTGTAATGATGCTTTACATAGTAATATTACTCGAAATTATGAGCAACATATTTATTATTTCAGCTGGAGCTCATTTATCAATTTCTTAATCGTTATGTCTAATTTTTTGTGAATTCTAATTCAAGAGATGTACAAAATAAATTATTATAATACCCTTTCCTTTTTTTTCTAATTATGTAATTAAAAGTTAACATTCCATGAAAGTGCTAAATAAAAATATTTTCCCTTTCTATCACACAAAAAAAGTATTCTTTGGACTTTATTTCGCTGTTCAAGATGTATGAAAAGATACTAACTTTTCCAGTCGTGCATACAAGAAATAAAACTTTTAAAAGCAGAGTTAGTATCACATAATTCTCGATTTGTTAATACATAAAGATTCACACATTCTAGAATTCTAGAATTAACATATTAAGAACTGTGATTAAAATATACGAATGCTTCTAAAAAGCAAGCATTTTTTACGCGCAACGTATAAAAGCAGTATTTTAAAATATTTATGGGTATTGGAAATGAGAGCTGGTAATTAACTAGATATTAACTAATTAGAGTCATATATGAATCTGAAGCAAAAGAATTGAATAATTGTATATACTTAGGTGATAAGACACTGTACCACAGTTAAGCAATTAAGCCGTTCTTAGTTCACAACTTCACTACAAACTTCTACCGAATATTAACAGAGTGTTCCCAATATCAACATCAAATTTATAAAAAAGGGAACACATGATAAAAGCTTCAGTGTTTCAATACTATGTTGAGTTACTTAACAGAACTGACAAAGCGTAAAAATTAAAATTTGATTGCAGTTACTTAATAAGTAAGTTATTAGCTTTTTAAAAGTAACGAACTGTAATAATGGCACACTTTTTCTTCACCGCTGAGTGTAGTGCAAATTATTCTGGCTGGTAGATTAATGATAATATAAAAATCCTAAGCTAATATAATAATCCATTGTTATTAAGCGGTAGATATTCTGTGTAAGATACAGATAGCAGCATACAGTTACAACATATATAAGGCAAAATGTTTTTCATGTTAGGAATGCATATGCTTATAGTTAACAGCAGTAAATAAAACCTGTTTAGTCTCAACTGATTATTGGGGCAATAAAACAAAAATTGAAGTATAGTATTTCTTTTTTCTTATAATTGCTTTGATAGTTGAAATAAATACAAAAAACTTTTAATATAATGCTTTTCATTAGTACCAAATATTGGTTATTTTAAAATAAAAGCTCTAGAATAATTTTAAATAAATACACGTATTAAATTTTTCCGTATTGAAAATGACTAAAAAATCATTTAACAAATCATAGTTTTATTTGTTAAGAAATTAATTTTTAAAAAATCTTTATAAGTTTTATATAACATTTTAAGCTATTACAGACATCCCCATAACTACACATTCAATTTTATTACAATATTTACAACTACGATATCGATATATAAAATTTCCTATTCTTACATTTCATTGCTTACGTAAGGGAGGAAATCTAAAATCTTCTTACAAATCGATACCGATTTCTTAAAAATTACTCCAGAGTTATTTTCGATTAACTTTTTATTACATTCGATAAATCATAAGTTATTAAGCATTCTAATAAAATTTGACGACTTACCTGTCTTTTGCCTCTGCAGCACGATCCCTTTGTCTGCGGTTTTTGAACCAATTGCTAACTTGTGTTGTCGTGAGTCCAGTAGCTTCTGCTAGTTCTCTTTTCTCACGAGGAGAAGGATAAGGATTATGAGCGTACCATTCCCTTAAAATGTTTCTAGACTTTTCTTTGAAACAATAACTAGTTTCTTCTCCATCCCATATAGTCCTGGGTAATGGGAATTTTCTCCTGATTCTGTATTTTCCCACCGCCCCTAAAGGTCGACCTCGCAACCTCTCGGCCTCTATGTAATGAGCTTTCAGCCACAGCGCCTGAAGCTTCGGGTGAGATGCCGGAGAGAAATTATGACTTTCGAGAATTCTATACAATTCTTTAAAGTTACCTCTATGGAAAGCTACTAAAGATTTCGCTTTGAGAACGCTTTCATTTTTCTGTAGGTGTTCGCAAGCCGGCAGTGACCACAGAAACCGTCCGAGCCTTTCTATATTACCGGACTGTTGTAGAACTTCGCAAACGCATGCTACTTGTTCTTGGGTGAATCCGAATGATGGCAACATGGGGCTTGGACTGGCGGGGTTAACCCCAGTGGTGCACGATGAGGGCGTAGGGATCATGGATGGCAGCTGAGATGCCGCAGCCAAGGCGGCAGCCGAATCAGCCATATGGCTGACAATCATCAGGTCGGAAGGTTTGTTCTCTCCGCAAGCGTCCACTAAATGTCCAGGTCCTGTGGTGACCGCTCCGCCTGGAGTCAATGTAGAATGATGGTGGTGGCAATAGTTGACCCGATCCCAGTCCCTATCCTGCAAAGCGCAGACTGGACGCAGTAAGAAACGGGAAGCCAGCTTGATAACAGTGGATTTTCAGACACCGTATTTTTTCTGCTCAGCCAGACATTATGCTGCATACCAGATGCATTGCAAAAACCTTTAACACCAGGTCTTAACTTAATGACCTTTCTGAACGAAATCTGGTGCGGAGAACATGGTAGCTTAAAATCATAAAGTTCTCCAACGTAAAGTAGTTAATTTTAAATGTCCAGATGCATATTGACACAATCGATGCCTAGGATTACATATCAGTCAATTTTTTCTTCTCTGCATTTGAGCATTTGAATGGAAATTCCCATTTTTTTTCCAAATCGAATTAACACTTTCCCATACTTTTCAATGATTTAATGCCTTTTCTGAAATCGAGCAAGTGCACCAAAAATTTTTCACATGTTGATGATCTCGTGCCTCACGCGAGCTGGACTTTCTTTTGCAGCTACAGAGCAATCAATCATTAACAACTCGATTATGTTTGAGAAATAACGTCGATTACTTTTCCCCAAGAAAACCAGTCCGCTGCTGCAAACAGAAAGTTGTTTGACCAGGTTACTGAAGCCGTCGTCTACAGGAATTACGGCAAAAACGTCCTGTCGCGGAAGGCAGCAGAGACTTCTTACCCCGCCGCACCAAGTGTGCCTCTGTGCAAGTCGCTGCGGTTGAAGTCTAAGAGCAGCTGATTCAAATTGATGTTATCGTTTACCAGCAGCGCGTCAGTTTTGTTATAGGAAGGGATTTTCTCGCCGTTTATTGGCTGACGGTAGCAACGGCATACTGGGGCGTTGCCATGACGACGCTGCCAATCAAACAAGCCGAAATGCCCCGCCTCCTCCCTACCGAGGCATCGCATCGGCTCTCGTTGCTCGGGAAGGATCTGCGAGACGAGTCTACGAAGTCTGTTTACTTTTCTCCTTTCTGTATTTTATTATTAAATATTTCAGAAAGCAGCAGACCAGCAAATAATATCTATAAAATATTTTATACTTATGCAATTCAAGAATAATATTTTTCAGCTGTAAAGTTTTTAATTGCATCTCAGTTATCGTAATATTTCTGGAAAAAATTATGTGGAATAATAATATTGAAAATAATTCTAAATTTCAGCTGGCTATTTAAATAAAAATAACTATTCTTATTCTTATTCGAATTATTCGAAAAACTAGAACAATGTACAAATCTACAGTTTTTAATAACTTACAGTTGCCCAAATATCTTAGATACATTTGCTTGAAGTATTTTTAAATATCTCGGGGGTAATTAATTAATCCAGCAATACATTCAGCATGTTCTGGTTTTAATCATTGATTTGATTAATTTTGTTAATAACAAACTATTAAAAATTCTGTTAAAGTTAGAAAATACAAATCATTTCAGTAGTATTTAACACTGTTGGGAACTATTGATTTTTAAGAATTTAATATTCTTAGAATAGACACTTTCAGTAGAATTTAATATTCTTAGAAACTATTGATTTTATCTGGAAACAGCAATGTTCGAGAAATTCTGCTCTTACAAATCAGCAATAAATTTTATTAAAAAAAAAAAAAAAAAAAAAAAAAAAAGGGAGAAAAATTCTTCTCCATCAATCTTTAAATAAATGGTGGTCGAGAGGTTAAGATCCCTGAATACTGGTAGTTTAACCCGGGTTCGAACACAGAAGAGCGGGCTGGTTGCATATGTGGTTTTCGTAATTTTCCCGTGTGTAAAGAGAATACGATCAAGTTCCCTTAGAACATACTCCATAAAGGCATCCCTTCCTTTATACAGATAGCTTACGTGCACTTCCCCATGTTTAAGTAACCTAACCAAATCTGTTAAAGAAAGAAGGGACCTATGAACCTATGACACGAGTGCTACATCATTAGATTATGGTTATTTTATGTATTGCAAATCTCGTTTAATAAAAATATATACAAGCTTAAAATATTTACAAGTATTTATAAGGACAAAATATAACAATTTTTCAATAGTTTTTTTTTTTTTTTTTTTTTTTTTTAATTTTTGATTTAACTATTTTTTTTTTACATTAAGCTCTAAGTTTTGCAACTCGTGCGCAAGTGCTTTAAAGAAGCAAATCAGTTAATCTGCAGCTGGATCTCTGTAAGTTTTGAAACTTTTTTAAGTTTCAAGCTAAGCAATCGTGAAGAATATAATGCTTTTTTTTTTTTTTTTTTTTTTTTTTTTGTAAAATAATAAATAAATAACAATAACAAATAGTGACGTTTCTGTGAAAGTTTTAAGAGGCTTATGAAGAGCTTATTTGGCGCTGTAAACATTGATGCTGTAAACGCTGTAAACAAACTGAATGATTTGTCTTATCTTTTTTAAACATTTATAATATACATTATTTATAACCTATAAATTTGTTAGGTTTTTATTTAGCAACAGTTATTAGCATTTAAATTTAGATATGTTAATTGTAGAACTTTGCATTGGTAAATACTGCTAAAATAATTCCAAAACTGCTGCCATACTCGCAATTAAATGAGATCGCAGATTTATTTCACCAATCGCAGATTTATTTCAGCAAAACAGGGTATTCTAATGAAGGATTTGCATTTATTAATTCATATTGTTAAAAATAGCATTAACAAGTCCTTGCAATCACGAGAAATAAGTTACTAAACTTAGGTTGTTTCAATGGGTATCTATCATATTTTAAATAAATGGAGTGTTATCAATATACAACTCCACGACGCTAGAGAATAATGCCGACTATTTCTCTCCCGCATCTTAACTAATAACTAGAGGTAATATTAGTAAGAGAAAATGCTTAAAAAACTACAAAAATTTCTCCTTTTTGCCCCCTCCTTCGCCTTTTTGTCTAAGAGTTTGAATCTCGTTTCCATAAAGAAGTAATTAACCTCTTAAATTGAAGATTTATTTGAGACTAGAAATCGCCGTTTTCATCTTTCGGGGATTGCCCCAAAAATATAAAAATTAAATGAAAATTTTATATGCAATAAAGTAACAATAAAATACACAAAATTTCATATTATACTTTTACGGTGAGTAAAATAATCATAAATCCAAACGTCCAGAGAAATATTATCTAGAAATTTTTAGTCATAAATAATGAATATTTTGAAAAGCAAGCTTTAAGATTCTGATTTTAAAATAGATTAACCTATTAGCTTGTAGAGTCATTAGACTAAAAAAAATATAAATAAAAAAAAAAAAAAAAAAAAGCAAGACACATGAAAAACGTGCAGTACCCCTCGCCGGGGCTCGAACACTAGTTTTCTAGAATACGCGTCGAGTTTGCTTCTAAATACATCACGAAGGCATGCATAAAGGAGGGAGAAAATACCTTATGAGTTGCTACATTTAAAAGAAAATCACACCTTAACCTCGAGACGATCCACCTCCTTAACGCGACCTCCTCCGCAGAAAATCAAAATAATCAAAAACTATAAATAATATTAAAAAGATTCATTGTGTAGGTTTTAATTTGTAGTGTAGCTAACATTAACCTTTTTTAGATAAATATTAGCAAAGCTTATTAATAAGTATAATAGTTTAAACCTATTAAAATTAAAGACTTTATTTCAATGATAATAAGTAGTAATAATATTGTTGTATAATAGTAGATATCTTATTTGGCCTTTATTTACCTTATGCCTTTATCACGCTTTTAGTTATTCTTCAATTATATAATAAATTGTGCATTTTTAATTTCCTCTCCGTATATAAATCTCCCTAAGATCATCACGATTCCAACGATTTTTGGCTTCCGTGAAAGTTCCGTGAAACAGACCATACTTCACACTTATACTTTTTGTGCTTTCAAAAATAATGGTTCGTTTCTGAGATGGTCGATCTAAGGATGCAGTCGCCACAAAAATGTCCATTGTATTTCTTTCTGAAATCTAAGAAATTTAATTTCTTTTATAAGTAATTTCATTAATTTCTTTCTTGTTTCCCATATCATTAGCATTAAAATGACTGCGGCTTTGTCTTTTGTTCTGGAGGTGGGGCATGGTCATTGCAATATTACTATACGTTACACTATACGTTACACTATATTATAAAATGTTATCACTTTCATGACCTAACAAGAGTTTCTTTTTTACGTGGCGGAGATCTTTAGCTTATCATCTATATAGCCTGCAAGTTGCTGCAACTGAAAGATGTTATCATTCTCTGCAGCATAAATTCTTTAATTTATCTTTCAAAATTGAAAAAATTAAAAGCAGTGTATATATCTCTGAATAATTTATATCTTTATTTTATTTTTAAATAATATATCGGTTGAAAATCATGGCATATTTAAGTCGAAAGATTATTAATACAGTGAATGCTTTCGTTTTGATCACTTCTCTAAGACGACCATATCACATCTGAAAGTGGCTAGCGCTTATGAGATTATAAATACACCTAGATATCAATCCTCATCTCTTTAAATATGCTCACCTATAAATAGAAAACCAAAATCATCTGGAGCTTCTGTGGGTGTTTTAGGATCTGGTATAGCAGTTGTAGTATTATTTAATAATTTTAAAACAATGAAAATGATTATAATGCAATTTTGTTAATGTTTATTTATTTTTTTATTCATAGGTCCCAAGAAAGGCTTTTTATAGTTTTTCGATCAGAAAAATTGAAGCATTCTGGGGGGGGGAGGGGAAATAAACTCTATTTCAATTCTACGTAAAGAAAGATTTCTCCAATTTCTACTTTTTAGAAATAATGAATGTAACCGTATCTGTAGAAGAAAATCCACAGCATGATAATAAGCAAAGAAAGAACAGATTTGTTCTATATAAAAAATGAAAAACTGAGAATAAAAGATTACGAAATTGAATAAAAATGACAAATAATAAAAATCCAGGAATATAATGAAATTGTAAATACTATTCAATATTATCTTAGTCATTTTTAGCTCCAAAAAGGCTATTAGTCTCGAAATAGGATTTTACGTTGGTTCACTATAAACGGCGACTTACTTTCCAAACTGCTGAAACCAAATTTTATCTCCGTCTATTATTCTTAAACAAATTAAATAATGAAGATATTCCTCTTATCGTAAAAAAAAAAAAAAAAAAAAAAAAAAAAAAAAAAAAAAAAAAGAGAGAGAGTACACAGAGCCATTAAATTTGGAGTAACATTGTTCTTCATCCGAACATGTGCTCCTGGAAATCCAAACTTTGAATTTCGAATTTGTTTTATTGTCTATTTCATGTTCGTAAACTTTAATGAATTTTTTCTTAAAAAAATCAAATATATGTAATAATATCGTACGCAATAAACCATTTTTCTTTCCATTGCGCCAGACTCTCTATCGGAAATTTTAAAGATTATGCTGTTTCTAACTTTCTTGTGATTTTGTTTTGAATGGAATTTTATGTGGCATAAGTGCGAAGAAGGTAATATTTCATAAATAAAGTAAAACACACAAAATGTTGAAAATTAAAAAAACAAAAAAGTCTTATAAAGCCATCTCTGAAACTGCTGAACTCTGAGCATATGCACTCTGAGCATATGCTGATATGCTGTTTTTAAAATGTTTGTGATTTTGCTGTTGAATTGTAAAAAAATGGGGGGGTGTTAGAAGGAATGAGTACAAGAGTAGACTGGTAGACCGCAAGCCCAGCGATAAAACCTTAACAAACCCTGCTTGGAGACCCTTAAAATCTGCAGTTTTTCAGCTTTTTTTAATTCGTC